TATATATATATACTGTGTATATATGTAATGTGTATATATCTATATATATATTTATTTTTTTATACATGATGTATACAGTATATATACCATATATTTAAACGCTTTGTAACTTTTTGTCCTCCCTGAAGAACTTTTACCCCCCCCAACACACACACGTCTCTCTTTCTGTGAGAAGACAAAGCATGTGAAGCTCATCCTCAAGCATCTGGACCAAAGTTAGGAAGAGCTTCGACCCACGTCTGATCCATCGCTGCCCGTCTTTTATTCATCTATTATTCCCCCTTTTTTTTTCAGATGCACCTCCCCTCCTCTCATCCTCTCTGTATCACTCCTTCCCCCACTTCCTGACTCTTTCCTTGCCCCTTTGACCCCTAAATGTTAGCAGATGAGAGGACACAACGCCAATAGTCATTCGCCCTGCTCTTAGTGACCATTGTGTGTCTGCTTTGGTTAAATCTCCCCCCTCCCTGACCGTCTCTTCCCCATTACTGACCACAGAGGAGGGGCTCAAACCTACAACCAAATCTAGAATCACCGTGCAGAGCTGCTGCTTGCTTTTCTGCTACTTTGTGAGGAAATGTTTGGTCAATTGATAAAAAACAACCTACATCTAAGATTTTACATAAATTACATTAATTTTGCAAACAAATCTCAATAAAAGGAACTGTTGCTTGCTCCTAAACAAATTTTAACAGAGGTGCGTTTAGCCAATATTTTGGAAGACTGGACATCCGAAGTCAAATTAATTAAAAAGTAGTAATTTAAGTACATAAATGCAAGCAGCATGCCGATGTCTCCGTCCCTGCATATTTGTATACATACGTTTGTATTTGACAGTTTTTTTAATCTTTATTTGATGCAGCTGGTGTCATTACAGCAGACTGTTCAGAAATCCTAAACCTGCACCCAATGTTGCATACCCATACCTTTTACAGCTTAGATATGTTATAACTTTTTAAATGTTTTTTTTTAATTATTAAACATCAGTGCTAAGACAAGCTAAGTCCTGCTGTGGTGTTTTCTTTATGAAAATAAGTGATTAAAAATCCATTCATCTGCTCATATCAGCTGCTGAATGATATGCAAAATGTTTTTTTTTTCCTGAAGGTTCAGAAATACACCAGAAAAGTATTGTATGCTTGAAGGTATTTTGTGTAAATGTACGTGTTGTGTGTGTTTCAGGGGGATGCTTTGCCTGCAGCTCTGGTGGAGCTGGTTAGAAACAGCCCCATTTCCTCCATCGAGGACCTCCAGCTGCTGCTGCTCTCTGACTCCGTAGGTAAAGAGCTGAGATTTCTAGATTCATCACGACACTCTCTCAGCTTTAGGTCCTACTCCGGTTTAAATACTGTTTTATGTTTCACTTATGCTTCCTGTTCACATTCAAATGGCATTTTTCAGGTGAAAAAACTGGTATATAAAGAAAAAAAATGCATTTTGTTGTGAAGATTTACTAGCACTGACGTTCATCCATGTGGACTTAAGATACGGAGCTTTTCAGAAACGACGATGCAGCAGTTTATTTCACGTGTTCCCACTGTCGTTTTGGAAACTAGAAACCAAAACAACAACGAAGCTGTTTTCACTGAACCTTCTGAATCTGTTTCACTTTACCCTCAACCTGTATCAGCCATATTTAAATATGTCCTAAAAAAGAGCTTATTAACGAAGGAAAGTGGAAACAAAATTAAAGGAAAAACTACAAATCATTTTCTCTGTATTTTGATATGTTAACGTGGACTTTCTATCTTCCCAATGCTTTTGTTTTTGTCATTACCTGAGGAAAAAAATCATTTTTAATGTGAAGTTTAGGTCCTAATCAACTTGTTTTACATAAGAACACAATTAATTCCTTTTAATTTAAAGCATTATTGACTCCAAAAACATTTAAGGGTGCAGACTGGCAAAGCAAAAATCTACTTTTATTCATGTTTAGAAAATGTTTTCTGTAATAGTGTGACACTCTAAACCATGTTTTACCTTTTTATACCTTTTAAGAAACATAAAATTAGTTCGGTAAGACAAAACACAAATAGATGACTCGTTTTCTGCCCTAATTGCAATAATTAAATCCAGTGAACAATGCAGAAGTGCTCATTTCAGTGCTATCGGCCTAAACTGTAGGCGAAAGGTTTTGTTTATTTATTGATTTCTGTTATTTTATACCTTTAGCAGTCTGACTTTTACACACTATATCAATTTATTTTATTTTATTTATATGCAGGGAGAGCTGCTTTTCTCTGCAGGATGTTAGTGTTATAAAATATAAAGCACCACATACTGCAGTTAGAGAGGACATGGAGGATGACTCACTGTGGAGAGCCCTGAAGAGGGAAAAGCTGAAAGAAGAAAAATACCCAAACAAATCGTTTGTAACTCATTTTGTATGTTTACTCAGTTGAATATATTTGTTTTTGTCTCAGATGAGGAGGACGGGACTGCTGCAGCCATGGAAGGTCACAGATTACCACGGAGTCTTGGTGAGCTGACCCCCACCCCCACACACACACACAGATTATTTATTTATTTAATAAATTTGCATTAGGTGTTTCACCATCCGGATTGACTGCAAAAATTGTTTACTCGTAGATGCACGTCCATAAATGACCTTCTGAGAGTTTCATTAAAATCCGTCCACTGAATTTTAAAGTTAAGATGGAGGACAAGCACACACACACACACACACACACGCACGCACGCACGCACGCACGCACGCACGCACGCACGCACGCACGCACGCACGCACGCACACACACACACACACAGGCAAACACTTTATCCCCTTTTTGCCTGTGGTGGCAGGTGATGATTTGTACTGGTACGCGTGTGTCACGGTTCTATATAATAAAAAGAACAAATGCTAAATGTTACTTTCAGTCTTTTTACAGACAAACTTTCCCAGAAGAAGGGATTATAAAAAAATCTGTCTAAACCAAACACATCTAAATAAAAAAAATCCTTGTTAGTACGGAAGTTTAAAACTGCGTATGTTCAGCAATGTAAGATTTAGCAACTTATACATTTCTTATAAAATGGAAAAGGCAAACTCCCCTGTCATTTTTTAATCCATTCTGAATCGTGAAACGTAACTCACAGTCCACATGTCAAGCAAGTTTGATCAATTTTCTTAAGAAAACATGATTTACAAAAAAAGAAATAGAACAAAAAAAAGTTATCTTCATTAAATTTGTCTGAAACTTCATGCAGAGTAAAAAGCAGCAGAACTGAATATTTCCCATTGTGAAAACACAAAATAAATAAAATGTAAAATCACTCAAACTACTCAACTAGCTGAGTGCCAAAGTGATAAAATGGGGCATAATAACAGAGATATTGAATAGATATTCATTTTCAAAGTGTCACTTATATGATAGAACTGCCTGCCATATTTCAAATCCTGCTTCTCTGCTGCATCTGAGCCAAACAGTCACAAAACGAATACATGTACCGTTACAGCCCTGTTGGACACCATAACAAAGTGTAATTCCCCTTCTGTCCTTTATATGTCTGGTCCCTCAGATGCCCAGTTGGCCCAGCAGGCTTTGTGTAAAGTTCGCACAGAGGTGGTGGAGGTCACCAGGGCCATGCTGGACCGCAGCAACGCCCACTTCTTGCTGTGGCCGCCGTGCGTCGAAGTGCAGCGCTGCTCGGGCTGCTGCAACACCAAGAGCTTGCAGTGCGTCCCCATCATCACACACACCAGATACCTGCAGGTACACGAGTGTTAAATAATTAGGATTATACAACATGTAACGATCAGAGACTTGTACAAATAACAAATCGGCATCAACTCGCACATTGTGTCTGTGCTGTGTACTCAGTGCACTTCCCGGTGACTCTCCCTCCTCCCTCTCCAGGTGATGAAGATCGAGTACGTCAACAAAAGGCCCACTTATGCCAAAGCGGTGGTGTCAGTCGTGGATCATGTGGAGTGCAGATGTCAGGGTGCTGCATGGCCCCCTGCGCCCAAGAAGAAATCCTCTCGCAGGCAGCACAGCCACCTGCATCGGAATCAAACCCTCAGTCAAGATCCTGCTCAGGGACAGGTAAAGATGTTACTGCGCATGCTCTCCGTTACCGCTTACCTCACCAAGCAGTGCAGCATCAGCTGTAACAAAATGACCGCCCTCCGTATGATGAGCGTGTTCCTGTTAAGATCTGAAAGAACTTCAAGGTGTGTCCTCAAGTGTGTGCTGAAGAGCTGTAGCTGTGCTGGCCCCTGTGGGTCCTGACATGAGGGTTTTGTGGATTGTTTTCAACAAATGGCTCATGGCTCTTTGCAGGAACAGAAGGGTCCTGCACTGCGAGCAGTTGGTCTGCAAAAATCAATTCATGGTTGGTGAATGTCAAATTAACAGATGGTGCATTTAAAAATCATTAGTAGTCCCTCACTTATCTCGAGGGTTCTGTTCCAGACACCCCTGCGATAGGTGAAAATACACAAAGTAGGAATGTTATATTTATTTTAGTATTTATATCTAGTTTAAGGCTTTATAAACCCTTCCCACACTCTTGCAATGTTCTGAACTCTTAAACCTACACATTTTAACAACGTACGTATATGTACTGTACAGTGCTGCAAAATTGTATATGGGTACTCACCAGTGAAGATACTACTACGACTTGAAGGATGAGTTCAGCTTCAGGATTATTTGTGACTTTCCTGCCAGTTCTGTGAGCTTATATAGATCGTTACTTCTGACTTTGCTCTGCAAAACTATTTTTACCACCTCGGTTTCTCTGCGAGTGTTTGCTCCCTCCGTTGCTGTTCTTTGAATTTTGGCAGAAAGCAGCGGCCACTGTTGGCTTCTGGGCCGTGTCGTTCTCTTGACTTGTCTTACAGTGTAGGCTTATTGAAAGAAAACTACAAAATGGCGGCACCTGTTCGAAGTATTGTTTTGTTTTTGGTCCAATTGGTTGGTTCCCGCTCCCGTCCGCTCCTGTTATCTTTTTATCCCATACCGTTAGAGCTGTCATTTGTAACCCAGGCCCGAAGCCCGGCCGGGTCATGATAATGTGCTGGATGGGCGGGTTGGGTCGGTGTCGAGCTTTTGACTGTGTCTGCGAATCAACCGCGATCCAATTATATGGCAACATGGCTTGCCATAAAATCCAATTATATGACAACATGGCTTGCCATATATCACCAGTCGCACCGGCCATTTCACCGTGAGCTGAAGGGCCTTGAGGTAAAATAAAGTTCATTTAAGCTTCAGATGGAGCTATAGTGCCAGGAGGCGATCCATCGCCCAAATAGACGTTCATTCAGCCGCTGCACTCAGCGGACGCACGCGGTCAACGACCCAAACAGGTGAGATCCCAAAGCAGACATGTCAGAGCGGTCCATGTCTGAATAAATCAGAATGCAGGCAGAAACAGGGATTTGATGCGCTTTGACAGCCATGAAAGGACAAACACCCCCTCAGCTCTGATCTTCTGCCCCTTTTATTCAGCCGCTCGTCACCGTTGTAAAGTTAGTTTTACGTTGGACATTCGAGCTCTGTCGCCTCCTCGGTGTGTTCCTCAAGTTCAGTCCGATGCAGGCAGTCTGATTTTGGTCAGCCGAACTCGAGGAACACACCGCTGAAGCCAAAGAGCTCGAATGTCCAACGTCTAACGTAAAACTAACTTTACCGTGGTCCGCACGTCCGCCGACCGTTAACTATAAGCAGTCAAAGCTTAATTTAAAATGTTTTTTTTTTTTTTTTCGGGTTTGGACCTGTAATTACTGTTAATTCGTCGGCCCGGGTGGGGTTCGGAAATGATGGCTATGGGCTGGGGCCGGGTCAGATTGGATATTTTGGGTCCGAATGCAACTCCATGTACCGTCCCTATCACGCAAGTAATATTAAAGTAGACACTCGTGTGTCTTGTACAGTCTTGCGTTAAAAAACCATGAAAGAGCGAGGCTGCGAAAGTCGAACCCCGAAGTATCGAGGGACTACTGGATATACAAAACCATAGTGACCTTTCCACACATCTTTGTATGAGAAGACAAACACTCACTGACTTTATGTCCAGTTCATGAGATTTATCTTCAGTGGAGGCTAAAATCAATACATTGTCTTTTAAAATATTGTTGCTTTGGTCATAATGTTATGGCAGGTGTCTAGCCCTGTGTCTTTACTAAACGACATCGTGTTTTGTAACTTTAGAGTTAAAGGGATAGTTCGGATCCTTTGAAGTGTGGGAAGGTTGTGAACTAATTGTTTTACCTGGTGTCGCTCTCTGATCGACCTCAGATTGGAGAAATAAATTCTGATCAGATCGATAAGTGAACTGCTTGTTCAACTGTGGCTAAGATCAAAATGGGTTGTCTTTAAAATGATTTTAATTTAGCAAAAAACATAGAAGTTTGTTGTTCTGCTATTCTGGCAGGAATGTTGAAGTATTACTGCTAGAAGTGCTCTAGGCTGAACAGCAAGTGCTATGGTAAGCTGCTAT